AATATAGTGCTAATTTAATCTAATAAATGAATTCTTTATTCAATAGTGTTGTTTCTAATAATGCTATAAGATTGTTGACCACTAAAAGGACCAGCCTGTACAAAAACCCACTTGAAACACAAGTTGCCAGTGTGATTAGAATTCGTATCACAAACAAATGTTACACGTATTCAAAAATAATGCTTTAGTAAAAGCAAAGTATATAAACAGAAGATACCACAAGTCCAAGTACATTTCTTTAAATAAATACTAGTGCCTAAAATTAAATTTGCCAGGTAGATGTTTTAAAGTTTAAAATGCCTAGACTCCCTACATGCTTGCTTAGTTCATTAAGGGCTAGATATTTATACGATTCATAACCACACCTAAATGATAGTAGGTTAGCTTACTTGTGTAATTAGCACGTTTAATATCACTCTTAAAACTCATGATGATGCAGATACTTTTTCCAGGTCTCTAATCAACAGATCACTACATATTATATTGTATTTATTCCGTCAGTAGAGCTTAAATTATAATTTTCATTGACATTTGCCTAAAAGAATACTAATAGTACAAGTGAAATGGTTATTCTGATGATCAAAGAAATCCGTAAGCAATTACATCAGACTTAGGGGAAACTAGAGTTAAATTTGAAGGAATAACTAATAGTACAGATACATTCTTTCCCCAGTTTCTGTTCATATGAAAAAAGTTGCCATTTGAATGACCTTAAGAGCACTTAATGGACACTTAATAGACAAATGGATATTCAGATAAAGTCAAGAAGTACGGAAAGGTAGACAGTTCGTTTAAGAAAATGTTGATAATAACTGAGTGTGAAATTCATGGAAATTGGAAGATATCATAAACGTAATGGTTAGATGTAAACGGAAGATTGTGAAGAGTCAACTTACGATTTAGAAAAATGGTTCTGCAATCACCGCTTAGGACTTACAATCAATAACTTTGAAATCCCGCGAATTCTACTACACTTCTTTGAACTATCATACAATATATACATCAGTACTTAGTTGAATAGGGGTTCAAAGTTCCAGTCATTTTTGAAAAGACCAGTTATAAGTGAAATTGATTTCCAGTCATTTTTGACAAGGATAGTGGTCATAACTAATTATAAGTTATGAATAGGGGCTGTGAGGATGATTAAGATTACAGCTGATTCTTTGTTTATCAACAAAAATACAACATAAATAAACTTGTGATTGTTTTGAAGCCTGATGCAAACGCCTGTCACTTCTACGACTGAACTGATAAACATCCCAGAAACAAAATCACTAACCGCTTGAAAATAGTGGAAAGTTTCTAAATCATATATTTCACTAATTATATATATATGCCTATTAAATCTTTGCAGAACTCACCCGTTTACTAAATTAATTCCTCAAAATTACAGAAGTGTACATTTCCCCTATAGCAATACAGATAGGTATACAATTCAAAAACAAATGAACGTATGACTTTTATATAAGATAAACCAAACTCATTTCTACTTTTAACACCAAACTGTTAAATTTCGGTCATCCACCTGAACATATGTTTCCTGATTTGATGTCGCAATATGCTTGTCTACGGAAGAGTTTCATAAAGACTCTTCTGTATATTTCAACTTGACCAACTTTCCAAAGTGAAGATACAGTATTCACTTCAAACATTTCACTGGAACAGTCCAGTAATACTCAATCTTATCCCTTTTTATTACTTTATACGATATTTTCAATCATTTGATAAACTCTGTGGAAATATGAATTTTCAAAAGAATGGTCGCTGAACAAAAAACATTCTTTTCGATAACTTCATCATCAAGTTCTACAGTTATATAAACATAATAGTGGATGAATTAGTGTTATTAACAACATTAATGTCATTTAAATAACATCGAATAAATAATAAATGAAGGTGTAGTTAAAACCACCAACAGTTCGATATGAGATCACCTGGTCCAAACCGGCCACAAAGCTAATACTAAAGAATCATTCTCCACAATCTACTGGGTACCGAACTAATTATTAAAAACAACCAGGTATTGTATACTCCTGAAAAAAGAGACTATCGCGATTCGCCTTAAACAACCAGTGCTCTATGTACAAAAGAAGCAAGTTCAGCCATAACTACTACTGCCCTGGCTGGCCTTCAGAGAAGATCATAAATTCATGAATTCGTAGTATTATTTTTCGAATAAAGCAAGAACAACAGTGGTTTGTGCAGAATAATATGGTACCATCATTTATTTCGTTGGCTTCTCATCATTTGCTTACAGCCTAAATAAATTATGAGGTTTAAGTACAGAAACGTTTTAACATACTTGCAAATTTCACATGCTGTCAGTTGACAGAAAGTTCCACAAGTAGCAAACAGTGCTCAGAAAATTGCACTTATATAGTTTTACACAGGCAGTTCAAGTTAAAACAAAATAAATGTATGCAGAAAATGGTAAAGGAGTTACATAATAAAGAGGAGATGTGTGTTAGATGCATAGTGACTAATAAGTTAGGTAACAATGTACTGAGTTGAACTCAAATCATAGAAACAAGAGACAAGCAAAATTACAGATTATAGAAGGAGGGTGAGGTTAAAGACAAGGATTGCGTAATCAGATGAGAGAAAGAAAGACATCCAGTTGCTAAGGCCAGGAAAGACTAATAACTGCTTCTTTCTGAACACACAAATCTGGTTTCAAGCGTTTGATAGGAATTGCTTCGGCGAACTTGAGGAGAATCGAGCTCCTTTGTCTATTGATAATTTTGAAGGATTTCGCGATTTCCACCTCATGACCCGTGTCGAGGAGATGTCTGGTAATAGCGCTACTATAAGAATTTGTTCCCTTGAGACGTAGGCTTTTCGGCACATGTTCGAAAAATCGCAGGTGTGCCCTTCTTTCTGTCCTCTCAATGTAACTGCTCCCGCAAATACACGTAAATTTGTATATACAGTTGGACTTAACATGAGAAGGGTATCTATCGACTTTTGACTGCTCCAAAGTGCATGTTGTTCGATGGATGGGAACCAACTTAGCTGCAGGATAGGCACTGGGCTAGTCTCCTCAGTCTTCTGTTGACCATTTCTGCAATGCCTTCACCTTTAAAATCTAGTCGAATTTAGACAGGCTTTTTTTCAACTATGATTTGTTTGGTATTTGAGCCTTCATATCTTCCATATTTGTTAATGAATCTTTGACGATAGCCGTTGTTTGTTATTCTGCACAAACCACTGCTGTTCTTGCTTTATTCAAATTCATCAAGGGGAATAAATGCATGAAGTTTATTATTTTTCCTAAGTTTCCTGATATTCAGTGTATTTTTAAGTTGGTGCTATCGGACTGTAATCCATTTATATTAGTATCATTATTGATTCGATATTATTTAAACAACAATAATGTTGTTAGTAACACTAATTCATTGACTATTATGTGTATATAACTGTAGAAGCTGATAAAGAAGGGGTTTTCGGAAAGAATATTCTGTGTTCAGTAACTATTCTCTTGACAAAAATTTTAATGGACATTTCTAATCATTTGAAATATGAATTGTTAGGCTCGATTTAAAAAAATTCATAGTAGTAAATAGTATTAGCAATTCTGAAAACTTTGGTAACAATAAGACTTATATTAATTCGACCACTACGTTATATTACAGTTCAATGAGGAAAGGGTATGAGCTCACTTATAAGAAGTGTTATGATTTCCCAGGACTACAACACAACATCACGTATAAATTCCTTTATCTTTATTGAAAAAATCTCATATTCTCAGTTAAATTACTGTTCAAATAACAAGATTTTATCACCTTCTTTATTCGTACATACTGTCTTCATGTACACCATTACACATAAAATATGAACCTGATCAGTGCTAAAATTGACTGTTTTGATGATTCTGGAATAGCTCACCTATAGCCTTAGTGAAATTGCTTGAAAGGAATTGATTTTGGACATATTTTTTACCTGCTTTACTGAAACAATATACTGACTGAATGTTAACGCTCCACATATCTGAGATTGAGTAAACTGCTTAAAAGATTAACGTTTATATAAAAACTAACTACACATGCCTTCCTCCTACCGTCGGAACAAGGATACATTCTAAGAAATACTAAAACAAACTATTTTTAGAATAGGTGACTTATTTAGAAGTGTTTGAAATATGATATTTAAAGGGCAAGGATATAAGTTGTTGCAAATCAAACTTGCCGCGCTTTCGTTTCAGAATAGTTGTATAGACTGATTGTTTCACTAAGTGCCTAAGGAAATTCTCTAATCAAATAAAATGTTACGTTTGACTATTTCAGAGATGTTATATCAAACTTTTAACCCAGCTGGAATATCTGCTGTAGCGTTTGTCATACTGTGCGCTAAAATACCTGGTGATAGCTTTTCTCTTCACTCTGTTTAGGCATTATGTAGAGTCATCCTGCCCACCATTAATTTTTCGAGAAAGATTGCCATAGAGTTGAGAAAAGAACGAAAATATTGCCGAAATAGCTAAATGGGTTCCTTTTAATACAATGCATTCTTCCAGTAAGCCCTAAACTTACTTATTATTAATTCAAATAAATACATGTGGGTTCATTCTCTTAATTTTAGTTCATCAACAGCTCCAAGTAACAAAAACATATCAGTAATGTAGTGAGTGCAACCAAGATATTTTGATCCTGTATAAAATTTCGATACACAGATCGCATCAGGAAGTAAAGGTCGATTTTGTATTTAGTTCCGTTTATCAATATGATTTCTTTTTATTTCGTAGCCTCATGTTCTTTACAAAAGATCTTATCAGCCTGTGCAAGACAATATTCGAAATATAACGGGGTTAAACTTATGGACAGATGGTGAAAAAATTGTTGGCGTTTGAAAGTGTCATAGTCATGAACTAATCAAGGCCCTAATGCATCAGATTATGGTTTCGGATACAGTATAATACTTCTCAGATAATGAAACAAAATTCAATATTCAGAAATCATCACGAGCTAATAACTATCGATCGTAAATATAGTAAAAATACTCACCTGAATACCCTCCCCATGCCGCAGTCCTTAAGGCTGACCAACCATCCTGATCAATAGTATTAGGGTCCGCATCTGATTCAAGTAATAATTTAATATTTTCATACTGTCCCAGTCGAATAGCTGATATTAATTCATGACAAATTGATGTTTTCTGCCTTAACTGTTCAGCTGTACCATATTCCTCATCACGCTCCTTCATCGAGTATGTTGAATAATCATATCCTATCCGATTATGATCAACATCAGATAGTTGGTTAGTTTGGGGATAAATTACATGATTACTATCAGGAACTACATTAGGATCAGATGAAAGTGTTGTACAATCCAACGTATTTGCCATATAACGCGAATCTGTCTGGTCAGCTGATTTGCTCTTTTTGATTAGCATACTTGCTTTGCACAAATCAAGAGTGACGTCATTGTCATTTGATTTTCGAACAATTAGACCAGGATATTCTTCTGAGGACAAAAGTAGTAAGTTCCTGTCATAACTATCATTGTCCTTATTACGTGAAATATATGATGAATCATATTTTGTGTTATTAACAAGTGCCTTCTCGATAAGGAACTGACCGTCTGTTATGTTACACAGATAAGTCGAGGTGCAATGCTTCACATCAATTAACCATTCAGCGAATACCTCATGCAAGAAATGTACAATTAATGAGTCCATAAAGCCACTGGTATTTGTTTTATTAATTATATAATCCGATGATTCATAATTGAGAGATATTATTGGCTTTAGCTGATGAAGTTGCTGATAAAAAGTAGACTTGGCTAGATCCGGTTTTGAGACAAGTAAAACTGAATAAAGTGACTGTACAGACAATGGCTCACAAGATGCCAGCATAATATTTAACAATGGTTTCACTGATACAAATGTTGATTCACTATCGAATTCACTCGTTAGAGGAAATAAATGTTGACACAACCATAGAAATAAACCATTTAGTGTGCCTGGAATAAAAGCTACATCCTGTAAATTTATTCTTCCATCTCTTATCAAATCTAGAACTGTTTCCAGATAAAGCATACATGCACTACTTTTAATTCGAAGCAGATGCATCATTTCTAATCGAACTTCGTTTGAACACTGGATGGACTCTTCATTAAATCTACATGTCATATACTCCTGAATATCTTGGGCAATCATTGGTTTACGTAAATCGTCTATGGCTATTGTTTTGATCCCAGGAAACATGTGTTTTATGATTGATCGATATTTGCGTCTGCAAGTAACTATCAGCAGCAGCCAATCCGGCAGAAGGTGAGAATGGTTTGCCAGCATTTCTAATATACTTCCATTAGGTACTCGATTATTCTCACTCTCACTGTTGGTATTGACAAATAAGGCTTTATCATCCATAGACCTGAATTTAGCCAAAATATTGTATATTTCATCTACCCCATCGATTAGAATAAAAAAACGCAAATTGTAGGTATCCGGTATACCCGATAATGGGTTGTTTTCCGGATGCTTGGAAAAATGTGAGATATTTATCCTTCTTAAAGGTTCTATTATATCATAGTAAAAGGCATCACTAGATGAATAAACGTCGCTAGATTGGTTATAGTCACCACTGCCTTTACCAAACGCTTCCTTAAAGCAGTTACTAAAAGGATTTTCATCCGACACAAGCTGATCGTGTAAAGATCTTACAAAATGTTCAGGTTGTAGTGATGTTTTACTTCGTGCATCACAAAAGTGATAAGCCAGCAAACGCGTAGCTACATATTCACATATAGTAGAAGTTTGAATACAGTTTCTTTTAGCTTTTAATTTTTTAGCGACATTTCTTTTTGTCTGAACTAGTTTTCTACAAATGCTGGTTTTTCCAGATCCCGACTCACCACAAATAACTAATCTACCGGCCAGTTCTTTATGAGTTTCTTTATTTATGCAAACTTCTTTACAGTTTTGTCGAGTGTTAGATTCACAATCGTCTACCAGATGCTTTAGTAACTTCTCCCATAGCCACTCACGGCAATAAAATTGTCTGTCTGCATCAAACGTTATAGAACTTGATGTATCATGAATGGAATTTGGCTGAAAAGGACTTCATCTACTGTGGATACATTCCGATCATTTCCACTGCCCACATGATAATAGGTTGTTGGATTAGAACTCGAATTAGTACTTAATTCACATCCATTATTAGCTTCGGTCTTATCATTAAATAAATCCATTTCCCGTGCATTTGTTTGTTTACAATTGCTCATGCTAATGTTCTCTCGATTATAATTAGCATCAAAATCATCTGTTGTTAGACAGGTATTCGACAATTTTGTCTGTTGTACACATGAAAGATTGGTCAAACTTCTAGAACTAAACTTGTGTGTTTTATTCAAAGACTGAAGGATGGATGATAATGAAAGTGATCTTACTATATAGATGCTGTTGTTACTGTTATACATTTCATTCATACACATCTTCTCTACTTGTCTAACTGTGTGTAATATGTACTATCATCTATTCATTGTTTAAATGAAGTTTATTTCCGAGATATCTTGCAAGGTGTTTGGTAAACACATTGAGTTATTTCCAGACAAAATTCTCAAGCCGATAAATCTTCTCATGTGTAAAATATTATCATAAGACATAACTATTTCTCATTGCTAAGATTAAAGGATCTGGAAACAGATCTGAAAAGAACAGAAATTGCAACAAATAATGAAAATGCGCAGGAAATTCTAACTGTTTATGAGTAAAATTCAAGGTGCTTAAGTAAAAATTAAACCTGTGATCAAAAATTACACAATCACAAAGCTGAACAACCTTAAGCATATCTCCCAGAGTTAGGCGAATTCCAGCGGATATTTTGACACTAAAACTAATATATTGAGAACAAAAAACTATTTCAACCTACCCAGAAGCTCTTTAGCAGCAGGTACATTCTCAGCAAGAGTCAAACTTAGAACCTTTCAATTACAAATCAAGCATTTTCATGAAACACCAAATAACGCAGAAGCTAAAGACTTGTAAATAAGACATTCCGTCAATTCGATGTATACATACGCTTTCAGCTAATCTCTAAAACGTAAAATAGCAAAATGTGAACTAACGATAACTACTGACAATTTGCGGCATTATACGACAGTGAACCGGATTGTTCATCAATGAAAAGAAGCTTATCCAGTCACCTAAAAGTTACTTAACGTCATCACTTGTATGATGTCTGGGTACAAACTCAACAGGAGCCGTATGAAATTCTGTAGGTAAAAACATTGATCATTATCGAAATGATGGAACTTAACAAGCTACAAATTAGATATAACATTAAATACTTTATGAAATTGAAGTAATCATCTTATATTATTAGGATTAGAACTTCATATTCATACATGATTTCAACTGGTAACTAGATTTTAATAATAGAACTACTTATATTCAGTCTATAAAACTGCCAGTCATAAACACTGGCTTCAAAATCTAGTTAAATTAACATGGTAAGAGGTTTTAGAGCCCAGAGTGATGGTTTTGTACGTTTTTATATCCAATATCAAAGATGACACATTCCGTTTATATCTCGTTTCAGCCAACTTCTCCGTTTAAGAACACATCTTTTCGCTACTTTGTATATACTCTCCTGGTTTTTGCTGAGTCATAGTACTTTCTGAAACTGTATGTGCGCCAATACTTATTCTTCGGTACTTCGGCATTTGCAGGAACCGTTATATACTCACCCAAAACCTAATTAATCACCACTCTGGCAACGTCTGGAGTCGGGTAACATATCATCGAAGCCTACCCATTTGCCGTACGACTGCATAATATAATTTGAATTATTGAAGTTGAAATTAGACCTAACCGTAAGTAACCATAACTTCATAAGACGTATTTACTTTGACAATTGTTGTATACTGCCTGTATGTCATAAATAATTTGCTCTTCTTATTTTAATACTTTATATGACAGCTGCGTTTAGTGTCTCGTTCACCTAAAGGTGGCAAGCTTACTTAAGAGACTAGGTTGCTGAAGCAATTATAGGTGAAGATAAACGTCAAGCTACAAATATATGCATATATATATATATTCTGATAAAAATTGTAATCAGCAACTTAAGTTTAGAAAAAAAGTAAAACTGGTTTAATAAACTTTCGAAAGACTTCAGAAGCTTATAAATTCATAAAATATTTATAATTAGGCTAAAATGTAGAGGTTTACACTGATCGCCAAAGTTTCTGACGAATCTCAAGACCATTCCCATTCGCGTTAGTCGGTAACGACTTTAATTAGACTTTTCTTGCCTACAATTCTCAGTAGATTTTTTCCAAAATAAATTTAAGAAAATAGGAATATCTCATGGAGATCAACAGGTCTATGACATCTCTCCCAAAATGTTCTGTTATGATTTGTTCTTTATGTGTGCAAATTTGTTTGACGTAAATTGGTCTGAAAATCACCATAAACAATAATAAAAACAACTAAAATTCCGTAAATAGTGATCCGTTTTCTCACAGTATAATGAAATGATAACAGTGATATAGCTTTTCGAAAATTCTCACTTTCCTTGATTGCTTGATGACCAAAATGTCTATTGCAACTATAGAAGCAGACCTGTGGTGATGAATATGGTTTCATGTATGCAGCAATAAACCTTAATACAGTTAATGTGTATTTTTAATACTGGTTATAACAATACTCCTTTGACTGTATCGAATATTTCCAGTTTCTAATTGTGTTGGGAGTGTGACAGAGACTTTCTAAAATTATGTGAGACAACTTCTGTATTCACTTCGCACAACCCATATGAAATTGCCATATTAACATGTATCTGACTCATCATGTATGCTCAGGACAATAAAAGTATAACCAAGCTTATGCAATCATTGTAATCGGTAAATTTTAATGGAGATATCTGAAGATATATATCATCCGAAACAAACCTGTCAATTACTCATAAGACTTTCAAAATGCGCACATCACCTTGAACATCGAAGGCATACAACTTAGTTTTGTAAAACTACAGAAAAGATTGCTGTCACGTGCTATGGAACTTTCTACACTGTACAGCATCTGCGGTGAAAAAACACTTTCACTTGAAACAGATAACTTCCGTTGTGACAGTACTCATTGTATTCAACGGAAGTTTCGTTGAAATTCTAACATTTTGGTCACTCATCTTGAGAAAAATACTACCTAGACAAAGTATCGAAAGCAATCATTTACTAATTTTTCATTCAACTCCAGTGTCACCAATTATGAGCATCGCACAAACTGTAAGCTCATCGTGTTTGCCACTATTTATAATGCGAAGTCATTATGACTATAAATCCAGAAAGGATTTTGTGGTTGTCGCAATGTATTCTATGATTATCGTTGTTGATAGAGTGCCTGAGGACTGTCAACATCAACTACAGTTCTGGAATCAGATCTCTTTACAAATGATCCACCACTCTACTTTAAATGCCACTGCACCTAAAAATATTACTAATCTAACAGACCGCGAAAAGCAGCTAAAGAATAAATGACACTATTTCAACTACCCTGGGTATTCCAGAACAGGATGAAAATTATTGAGCTTCATGGTTACCGCCTGAGACTAAAAGTGGCCACACTTCGTAAAAGCACCTCAAAAATATTGAAAAACTACACCGAAGCATATATGAAAAAGTCTTGGTCCCACTGTCTACTATAAGGTGAATAGGCTTCCGGCTGTATAAATCCATCTTCCCTATCATTAACATCCAATTTAAAATAAGTAGGCGAATTGAAAAACGTCTATTAAATGAAATATGGGTAGGATGAATAATATAATTACCATTGACTTGTTTCTCCTGTACTTCCATCATTTATTTTCCGGAAGATTTTGAATTGTACCAAAAGCCTCGAACACTTGCTAGCATCTGGAAGTACCATGTACCCTGTCAGTGGTGACTTCACCTTGCGTATACTTAAACAGGTTCTATTGTATCACTGCTGCGACTAGATGGATCCATGGCTTTGGGCACCACGATTCACTCAAGAAATTCTCAGATTAGTAACTTTTAAGCCTAATGATTGGGTGAAAAGTTAAATAATGCACACCGATGGCTTGAGAAACAAGCTGCGGTACATAATTACCTATACGATTCTTACTGGTGGAACTTCCGGTATTATTTTTCCATTAACATACGTATTGCGATTCGACAACCTATGATTTAAATGTTCCTTGATCCTGCCTAAAGATAAAAGTCACGCTGTCAATGTAGTTTAAGGTTGAACGATCGATTCATGTTTGTTCGCTAAAACCCAACTTCCCCATATTTTTCGCGGGAGTCATCAAACCACCAGTCATCTTCTCATCGTTCGCCGTTCAGAGGGAAGATTAAAAACTACCAGAAGTAATATCGTGGTTTATTGTTATAACGTTTGTTTGTAAACCTTCTTATGTAATAACATTATCGCTGGTTATATGTTGGCGTAAGAATAAAGAATTCTTGAGTCGCCAATCAGTGTTCTGGTTTTCGCGTTGGTTAATACAAAGTGTTGATGAAAGTCTTCGATGGACAGTGTGAGGTCCAGCGTAGCAAGAGCTCGACATTGACAGATTGTGAGAGCTGGCTGGCAGTTTCTGATAGTTTTTGGATAGTTTCATGGTGCTTGGCAGTCTTATTTGGACAAGAATTATCTGGAATTTTTCTGGAATTTTTGGTCAAGCTCAATGATGCTTGGGTCAAAGAAAGGACAGAGCGTCTTGGAAGCAGACAGGAAAGGAAGTTATGATGAGTTGCTTCTTAACTGCAGTGATATGTATGAGGTTCAGCATGATAAGACTGTTGTTCACGTTTGGCAGTCTAGGGATAATCGGCCTCAATTTGAACCTCGGTGTTTCGACAGAAACCCAGCTGACTATTTACAGTTTATATCAAATGGGTGGGAAAGTTCCAGAATAATTCCGGTTAAGGGTCAAATTAATAAAAATAAAAATTAGGAATTAGAATGCCATAATAAACAGGGGGATGGATAAAAAACAAAGTAGCATCATAATAACTATGAAGATTGACATTTTGCAATTGGGGGTTAGAAATTTAGAAATAACAAAACAGACAGGATGTTTGGATAAAAACTAATGTGATGAAAAATTGTTTGTGCGATCAGGGATTAAATATGTAGAAATAGTAAAATGACAAAATAAACACTAAGTTCGGGTACGAAAATATGGTAGTGTCAATAGGGATTAAGAAAAACTTAAAATAACATGAATAAACAGGAAGTTTAGATAAGAAAGGAGATGGGATGGTCATTACTAAAAATTACCTGTTTATGATGGCCATGGCAGGGACAGGGGTTGGACGTATTTCTTTTGTATACAAAGCGTGGGTTTGAGCTTTTGGATAGCTAGCGCCTCGGCTATGCCCAGATGTCTTGATTTTACTCCCTTTGATAGGTTCGATCGAATCTTGTACATGATTTTGAAGGATTTTTCGAGTGGCGCTGAATGTCCTGA